GACACTACGCTTTAGTAGCTAGAGTTTTATCCAACCTTTCCTGAATGTAGGCTAGGCCACTTCTGTGATTACTCCAAGTAAAAAGGTATCCTTCAAAACCCAAATCCAAAAGTCCACAGTCTTGGACCATGGTTCTAAAATTTTTCGACACCCATTGGGGTTTGAGCTTACCCCCACGTTTTTTCATCGGAGATAACAAATCATTTAAGTCGCCAATAAGGAGCCACCGATCCCCCCAAGACTGTTGCATGCATTTTAGGTAATCCCATTGGGCCGCTCAAATACCATAATCAGAACTAGCATAGATAAAAGTGATAACCCAGGATCCTTTAGCCATTGAAGTTAGTTTCATCGTGATCTGATATTCGCAAAAGTCTATAATACGAAATAGATTATGATTATTCCAGAAAATAGCGATACCTCCTGCCAGCCCAACCGAATCAATATTCCACACAAAGTTCACCTTTAAGCGCCGATGCAACCTCTGTAATTTCTTTAGACTTGATTTAGTCTCAAGCAAGACAATCAAATCCGGACAGTACAGTCGATTAAGCTACAGGAATTGGCGAACCGTGACTGGACTACCCACTCTTTGGCAATTCCAAACCAAAAAATGGAGGGGTGTATGAGGTAAGAGATTTCCAGAATCAGCACTTGAGGTAACAGGATACCCTTGAATCGGGGCAGGCGTCACCTTCGTCCCTGAAGAAGAAGCGATGCCAGCAGAGCGTTCCGGCAAGCACGGCACCGCCATAAACCCCCCAATTAACCCTGTGTGAAAAATAGAGTGATGCCCATCTGGAGAAGCCGACTGGACATTCGGGTCCATGCCCACAATCCCGCCGCCAACAAACCTTGCAAACCCAACACCTTTTCACCCCATCGGAAACCAACCAATACAAAGCCTTCCTCAGACCTCCCCACACCCTCCGAGCCAAACAAATCTGTGGATCAAAACTCCTAAACACGGCAAGCGGCAATCAAGCACCGAGAACATAGATCCAGAGGACCCAATAAACAGGCAACATCTAGCGCGAACCAATCGAATCCCACACCGATAAACCTCATATCCGTTGCAAACACCCACAAAACCTCAAGGAATGAACCACACGGTCACCCCAAACAAACTCCCGATGAACGGGAAATCTTTGATGAACAGAGAACCCTTGACGGCGCAAGGAAATTGACTTTGATATCCTTTGAGGACACGGATAAGTTACATTCAGTCCCTTGATGTTAGGTTATTTTTTATCTAGACGAAGATTTTGATTTTAATTTTCAATCATATCAATTTCGTATTTCATTTACACTCCAAATATCAATTTGTAGTGATATCAGACTACTTTCTAGGTATAAAATGACTATTATATCACCGTTAACTATTTTTGTGACCAAAATACTCTCGAACATACACCTTTCCTCTTCTTTCTCGTACCATCGTCATCCCCAATTCACCCATCAATCCTGCACAGTACTTTTAATATATATATACACACACACATACAAACAAAGCCATATATATATACATACATACGCGCATATACAAACACAACCATATATGTACAGATATATACACACACATACAAACATTTCACATTATTTGTACAAAGTCACTATTCTTGAGATTCATATATATGAATTCACGTTTGATAGCCAGACCATTTTATCACCAAGCAATGTCCCCTTGTGCATTTTACCAGTGCACTAAGCATAATCATTGACCCCTAAATGTTAAAGATACATATATAACTCAGGTAAAGTGTAGGATCCTAGTCATAAAAAGACACCATTTCTGACACCCAAGAGATTTACTTATTGAAACTGGATTCTGAGCCCTCAAGTTCTCAATTATAGATGTCAGGAAGTTAATTATTACATGAATATCCAACTCTTTCTCCAAACTCTAGTCCTTCTTCTTGACTTTGTGCAACTTTTCTTTTCTTTTTTTTCTTATTTTTTTTTAAATAAACCCAACCCACTAAGCAACATTGTCCAGAGTATCCAGATCAATAGCCTTCAGCACCTCGGCTGGCCAAACATCCCAACTTTCATCACCAAATTGAGAGGCCATTGCCAATTGAGTGATGATGTAAGCAACCGAATTGCTATCCCTTGGCGTCTACCCAAGTCGAAAATGAGAACTTTGTGCAGTTCATGACACAGTTTCTCCTTCCAACAAGCAATTTCTCCTCCCAAAGTGCATCTCTTTACCATAGTCACAAAACTAAATCTTATATGCCAAACAGGGGTCGGACGGATCGATGATGGGGCTGGTAGCGGCTGGCACTTAAATATCCGGCGGTGGAAGAAGACTGGCGGTGGCCAAGCTCGGAACGGCTGCTGCGACAACGACACCAACTCAGTTCCGGTCAGCAATTCGCCCCCATACGGGGCTAGTCTCGATCATGATGCTGAATAATGAGATAGGAGTTGAGGAACTTGGGGAAATTTGCAGGGAATTGAAGATTCCGTTTCACACCGATGCTACACAGGCTTTGGGGAAGATTCCGATTAATGTGGAGAAGATGAATGCGAAGAGGAGGTATCCTCTACACTGCCGTTTCCTCCCGCCAGCACCACTGTCCTTGGTTTGGGGTGGGGGCGGTGGTGAAGGAGGTGTGGGGTGGGGGCGGTGGTGAGGGGTAGTGGCGATGGAGGTGTTGGGTGGGGATGTGGGTGGTGATTTGTTTATTTGTTTGTTGGTAGTGATCCGAATTGGTGATTGCATATATGTGTGTGTGTGTGTGTGTGTGTGTGTGTGTGATTGTCTATTTTTGTGGTTAAATTGGTTTTTTTTTTATGTGTTAGATTTCAGTGATGAGTAATCCATATATATTTTTTATGTTTTTGTGTTAGATTTCAAGGGTTGAAGGACAAAATCGGCGTTGGAGGAAGAGAGACCGCATGGGAGGAAAAGAGGAGGTTGGATTGGATCAAAGAAATGAAACTCAAAATTATAGAGGGGCTTTTATGTCATTTGATATTTAAAGATATTTTCTATTAAAAAAATTTAAGGCAAAATGGTCCATTCATATGTGTTTGAGGTCAAAAAGTAAATTGGGGGTGTAAGTGAAAGTTAAAAATAAAATCTTCGTGTAGTTGAAAAATGATCTAATATCAGGAGGTGTCTGTATAATTTACTCTTTTTTTTATTAATGATTTTACCTATGGAAGTTAAATTTGTTATCATCGAAAACCAAAATCTAGGGATGCAACTTGGGTTGGGCTTGTGTTGAAAAATCTCAACCCAAATTTAATTAGAGATTGGCATGGGTTGAAGTGCTAGCAATTCGAGCTAATCCGAACCAAAATTCTAATATTATTTTCATATATAATTTTACTTTTAAATGTATTATATATAATATTTAAACTATAATTACTTTTTTTTAAAAAAAATTGTTTTGTTAAATCTTAACTTATTGTATGTTAATATTTAGGGGAATTAATTTTCTAAAAATTTATTTGTAATTTATTAAAAATTTACAAAAAAGTTTTAAACTTTATTTTGTTTAAGAGTAATTTAATCTAAAACTAATTCAAAATCATATTAAAATTTTGGTGTAAAGATTAGCCATATGAGTAATCCGAATTAAGTCAAAGTTTTTACCAGAATCTAAACTCGAGTTACAAGCCCGAATTTAAAAGTAAAAGAATGAGTTGGGCTTGGGTTGACTAGTTAGGGTTAGGCTTGAATTTATCGTTTTATATAATGGGTTGGACTTAATTTATACCTCTAATCCGCCCAACTTGCCTGAGTTGAGCCCTACCAAAATCCCTATTGTAGAGCAATTAAGGTGATTTAAATAAAATTGATACACACTAATTACATTTGAGGGATCTTATCAGTATCATACTTTCAAATCATAAAATAGCAACTTAGTACCTAAAGTGTCCAACTTTTCAATAGAGTGGATTCGTGCCCAATTTTCTTACTTAGAAAATTGTTGAATATTTATGCTTCGTTTATTTCGATGTAAATAATTTTTTTGAAAAATACTTTTCTTTTTCAGGTAAAAAATTCTTTTATTTTTACTTTGTCGGTATTTGGCAAAAATTTACATTAAGATTGAGGTCAAATCCATCCAACAGAATATATAAAATAACTTACCGAAATTTAATGAATAAATTATTTTTATTAAATTTTAAAATATTTTTTTTATAAAAATATTTTACAATAACTAAATATTAAAAAATATAAAAATATTTTACTTCCAAATAAACGAAGCCCTAATAGTTTCTCCAAACGATCTATGAATAATTGTGAACTCACGTGAATGATGAAACTACCTAAGGGTTATCCAAAGTTATCTGTCGCAACCCATTTAGCGGGAGTCTCAAGAATAGTAGAGCTTGACCAGATGCTTAAGTGGGCCCTTCTTGACTTGGGGAGTATTTTTTTGGAGTCCAACTTTTTTCCATACTGCACGGGTGAAGAAAGTCAGACTTTATTTGAAAAAAAAAAAAAAAAAAAAAAAAAAAAAAAAAAAAAAAAAAGGGAGGAAATTATGGAGTATTGACTATGAACAAATTAAATCAACTAATCGTGATTCTTGAATTATAGATTTGAAATACATTTCATCCATACTTATGAATTGAAAATGTTAATTAAATAAATACTGGTTGTATCAAATATAAAAGGACATTCTTGTTTTGTTTTGTTTTATTTTTAAAGTCTACCATGAAGTTTATCTCACCGATCTTGCAATAAAATGTACATTGCAAATATAAAAAACAGTAATATTGTTCTATTTAGTGTAAAGATATTGTCTACTTTTAATTTATTTTAGGGCCTGGTAGGTATTAGGAACAATGTTCACAAGACCCTAGGGGCTATAGGGTTAGGGCACAATTAGGGTTTTAACAAGCGAAACATCAATTTACACATATTCATTCATTCTTAATCAATAACTTGAATTCCAGATATAATGCTGCCCACAAATATGAAAGGAATTACTTGTGCATTTATTAGCTAAAACCACTATATATAATAAGGATGCAACTTATGGTTCATAAGCTCGAATGAGTAGAAATTTTTTTACTACAATACATGTAAACTAGTGGTTGCAAGGCTAGTTAACAGTAACAATACAAATCAACAAATCTGAATTCCAACTGTTATACATATTTAAATACAATGAAAATAGAAAATGGAGGCTGCACCGGTGCAACGTCGTCCCGTCGACCATCTTCAGAACCAATGAAGGTGAAAGATCAAGTTATTTCCCAAGGAGGACCCCAATGACTCTTAATAGAATGATATAAAAATGTAACAGCAAAATCAGCCGACAGCATAGGACTCAAGATGCAACATGTTTCCAGATATGGTTGGTAGGTTGTAATCACAAAAGATCAGCTCTGTATTTCAATCTGTTGAGCAAGAAAACCCAATATGATTATCATCAGAACATAGTCATTTCGAGTTTATAATATTACATATGAACACACACTTGGAAAAGTGCAGAGAGATTGGATAGAAGAAGCCAGCAGTACCTCTGCTTAGATTCTCAGAAACCTGAGCAACGAGCACGCGCCAAGATTTACAAATCCTAAGCAGTGAAGAGAATTGCTAAACTCAATTCTCGTGAACAGGCTTCCAACATGAGAGAGCGTAGATGATTCGCCCTTTCCATCCCTGCAGCATCCAGTTGCTATCCTCATCAACAACAAAATCACTATGGTAATCCAACTTCACCTTTCTCCTCACATCCTTGACAATCTCCTGGTTCAGTGGCAGCTGCCTGAACCCAGCCCTCCGAATCCGAACTTGCCATTGCTTGTATGTTTCTGGTCTTTCAACCCTTTCGGTGCCCTCACATGCTATGACATTCATAGCATCTCTTCCAAAGACTTCTTTCTCAAACAGCATCCTATCTTGATCTTCAGCTGGTGCACAGGCCTCGAACATGTCAAAGAGTGCCGAGAAGTGGAAGAGTGCTTCTCTGAACCTTGTGACAAAGAAGGGGGCACTATAAGTGCCATTAATGACTCCATGGATGAATATATCTGGGCTAATCCTCTTAATCAAGTTCAAGACAGCATCCCTTGGACTACTCATCACCACTGTCTCGTCAGGAACATTCCCCAACCGGTTTATACAATTAACCACAAGCACCTCATCTCTGTCAATCTTGAGATCCTCAAGTCGGATGGTGTCCCATTTCTTTGCTATGGCATTGTACTCAAATGGGATGTTAAATCGCTCGCAATAATTTGCTAGGCGACGTCCTGTTTCCTCAACCCTTGCAGCTGGCCGGAAGCCCGGTTGGGGAAAATCTATTCCAGTGATGCGTAGCTTAAGAGGTCCACTAGATCTCTTGGAGAGACGGTGGATGAGGCAGGGCCATTGAAAACCATATAGAATTCCAAAATCAATTATATGAATCCTCATTGCATTGTCAGCTAATTCCCTAATTATCCGATTTGCAGAGAAATACGACATCTTAATGAAAGGGCAGGCTGTAACAAATACCTTGTACGCTTTTAAAATATCAGCAGCCGATATCCTCCTGGTAGTAAATGCTGTATACAATGATGTCCCGGTTCCAGCCAAGCGTGCCTCGAGGGCATCGGCAACGTAATGAGCCAGTCTCTGGCCACCATCACCGTGAGGAGAAGAGTGTTGCCTAATCTTCATCAGCAGATCATTCGCAGATCTGACATCACTATTCGCAACAGCTTGTGCACACTGCGTTAGGATTGTCCTTAAATCCACCACATCCTTTTTGTTGCCTTGTCTCTTACCACGCGGCCTGCCAACATTTGAAGCTTTTGGCTTCCCATTCTGCTGCAGCTTAATGCTTGCAACATTTGGCAATGCTTCATCAGAACACAACTCAGGGTTCAAATTAGAACATAGCAACACCTTATCAAACATATCTAATTGCTCGGGCTCTTCATGGTAATTGCTCGCCAACTGCTTGTTACTCCGGCCTTCTTCTACATAATCACTATCCTCTCGAAAATGATTCTTCTTTCCCCTCACCCCATTTGGTGAATAATGGTTCCTGCCACCATCCTCTGCCTCGACCACTACCCCCGACTTCTTCTCTCTCGGCTCAATACCATAATTCACACTAATTTTATCAGAAATGATCTGGGAAACTTCCACTCTCCCTCTCCCTCTCCCTCTCCCTCTTAACTGCGGTATGGTAAAAGCCCCATTATAGGAATTCGAAGCCGGAAATGAACTAACCAGAGACTCCATTTCACCATAGGCAGCATTGTTTGAAGACTGCAAATTGGATTGCAAAAGTCCAAATGAAGCTTCGAATTCGCTCTGATCATGAACCCATTCAGACTCAACTAATTTGCTCACAGGAGTAGAACTATTACTGCTCTGACTACTGCAAGACCTAGCGAAATCATCATCTGGGCTCTCAACAATTTGAGGGTTTAGACTAAGCTCAGGAGGGTACTCCTCCCCAAGAACATCGTAGAATGATTTCTCAGCAGCTTGAAGAGCCAAGCAGTCATGGAACATACAAGGCTTATGCTCCAAATCCTCCTCTTCCATGAGCATCTGGCTTATGTACCGGAGAATCGCATCGGAAAAGTCACCCTCCTCCGTAGATTCCCCCTCCGAGCTCAAGCTCGAGCCCGGAGATACTACTACTTCACCGGGAGGATGAAGAGGATTTGTAGTGATACCATTGAATTGGTGTCCATTGACATGATTTTGAGGCGAAAGGGCGGGAATTGAGTGGTGATGAAAATCATACCCCTTTGCGGAACTAGAATATCCTTGCACAAGAGTATCCATAGAAGACTCTAACCTAACCAAATCAATTACGGTATATAATTTGAAAGAAAACTCCGTAAATTCTAAGAAACGATTCTATGAAATCACACCAGACGTGTAAATCTAGTGATCAACTTTCGAGTTCAGAAGAGTATAACATCAGCATAGAACTATGAAAATTGAAGTTATGGAGGATTAAAATCTAGATTTGGTATAGAGTTGTTGCAGAGTAGAGGACCAAGATACGGAATAAAAGTATAAGATAGAACAACAAATAAAGAGATATATAGAGAGAGAAAAAAAAAAAAAGTCAATACAGAGTACCTTAAAGAGAAACCCTAGGTGTGAATTGAAGTTAGAGAGAGAGAGTTGACAGTAACAGAGAAGCTAACGTTGGTTGCTCTATAAAAAGGGCGACAAAATAATCTTTTAATTAGGATCGAATCTTCTGGGAAACAGAGAGAGTGCGAATATTATAGCCGTCGGAAACGGGAACCGGGTACCGGTGTAGCCGGTCGGCTTCAGCGATTGGCCGGTGATCGATCCGACGGTATGCATATACATATAATATGGATATATAATGGAAGTACGACGTCACCTCTTACGTTGGGGGGAACTATACAAGTCAAGTTGACTCATAGGATTAATTAACGCGCAAGATTAGCCAGATAAGAGGGACAAGTCATCCTTAATTTTTTTATTAATGGTTTTACTTATGAAAGTTAAATTTGTTACCATCCGAAACCAAAATCCCTGTTGTAGGACAATTAAGGTGAACAATTAAGGATATATAATGGAAGTACGACGTCACATGAATGAATGATGAAACTAGAGCCAAGGGTTATCCGAAGTTATCTGTAGCAACCCATTTAGCGTAAGGCTCAAGAATGGTAGAGCTTGACCAGATGCTTAGGTGGGCCCTACTTTACTTGGGGAGTATATTTTTTGGATTCTATCTTTTTCCATACAGCACGGGTTGGTGAAAGTCAGACTTTATCTGAATATTAAAAAAAATTATTGACTATGAACAAATTAAATCAACTAATCGCGATTCTTCAATTATAGATTTGAAATACATTTCATCCATACTTATGAATTGAAAATGTTAATTAAATAAGTACTGGTTGTAGACCATATCAATTATCAAGGATAAAATGACATTCTTGTTTTTATTTTAATTTTTAAAGCCTACCATGAAGTTTAGTAGTTTATCTCACTGTTCTTGCTATAAAATGTACATTGCAAATAGAAAAAATAATAAAATAATTCTATTTAGTGGCAATTTGTTCAACTCGAACAAATATTATTACTTTGTCTCTCTTCCCAGGTAATGAGGGTCAGCATTTGATAACATTATACGTATGAATATTTCTTAACTGAGTAGAATATTTTAGAAAAATTATAAATAGTGATAGGAGAGTGTGCTCATAGTAGATAATTAAAAGAAATGCAAAAATACGATTAAATTTGAATACGTTATATTTTGAATGAAGACGATCAAGAATTTATAATTTTTTTTTTAACATTAAATCGATCTGGTAACCCTTATTGTAATTTTCATTTATGTCCCTACCAAAATGTGTTATGAACCACTTTTTGGAAATGAATGCCAGACACAGGTACTAGGAAGTTTCAATTTAGGATAAAGTTTTGATTTAGTGAATTGTATTGGGCTTGTTTTAGAGTCTTGTCATAAAGTACCAAGGCGACAGAGGTTCGAGTCATTATATTTTGGACCAAAGTGGACCCCGCCACCGGTCAGTCAAAAAGGCACGCGGACTAATCGGAGATGTAACATATTGAGACAGACCCATACTATCCAGATTCATCCCCCAAAATAAAATGATGGGACCCACGAAAATGAAATAAAGGGAACCCACAATTGGCGTTATATTTGTGGAAGCTTCAAAGCTTCCAGAGACGTCTACGACGGATGATGAATTCACGAGTTGCTGGTTTTGTTATGACCCTAGTACATCATATATTGCATGTAAAAAGTATAGACTTTGATTATTAATCAATCATATATGTTACATCGTAATGACCAAGAAAACATATGTTCATTGTTCACACTATATATATATATGTGTGTGTTTTTGTGAAACAATAATTGAAAGTACCATGTATATGTAGGTGTGAACTATGAACATGTGTTTTCTTGGTCATTACGATGTAACATATACGGGCCCTCAGACTTAACAACCTTTCAAGGGAAATCATACCATCTGCACATTGTATATAGTTCAATTGTGCTCTTAAAAAAATTAATTTCTAAAAACATACTTCAAGCAAATTGACATTGATACTCAACAATCTTCCAAGAGAGATTATAGTATCTACACACTACGTAAGGGTGATAATTTAAGAAGTTTAGATACGAATAGAATACGATACAAATATTTGAATACATAAACATGACTAATAATAATGTTATTTTTCAGAATCATTATATGTTGATTTATACAAAACGAACGACGTAAAATGTGTTAATTAAGTGTTTGAAATATGTCAAATCAAATATTTAAAATAATAAAACTTATTTTTAAATTATAAATATAATTATAAAATGTGGAAATTTTGTCCAAAGAGTGGTCATAAAGTGTCAATTTCTAATACCAACCCAACCCCTTCATATATAGAAGGGTTTGTACTTCTTAGGTGGGCGGCTGCAGTTGATGATAAACCCACTCTTGGTGAAATTAATAATATATATCATACTTTGATCATTTCAACCTTGTCCAACAATTTGACAAATAGAAGGACAACTATAATTAAAAAAACATAATTTTGATTCCTCCAACCTAGTGTTTCTCATAATCAACCAGTAATTATTTCTTGTCGGAAATTAGGGATATAGATAGCAAGTAAGCATCCGCCATGTGCACGTACCATACTGGATATAATTTTCTATTTTGATGCTATGATTTCTTGTGATTCAAGAAGGAGATATACTAAAATACTAAAATGGGTATTTGACTTTTAGGACAGATGAAACTTGTTAGCATTGTATTGTTGGGTCGTCACATTAGGTAATGCTTAAAAATACTATCTGTGGACCAAATTATTTTTATTTACCAAATCGATGATCAGGTGGGTGTATCTTCATCCGTGAGATTTAAGTATTATTATTTTTTTATTATATTGGTCGTGAGCAAATTATTAAATTTATTTATGGTGAGTCTTCAATTAATTAATTAATTATTATTTTTTTTTTTTTTATGGTGATGGATTATTTATTTTGAAACAGCCAAATTTGAGATGGAGGGAGCATATCCTTACACAATTTTCAAAAAGATAGCATCTCCTTTTTAAAGTGTTTGATTGTCACAAAAGTCTATTACAAAAACCGATTCAGACTTTTTTCATTTTTCTTTTAAAATGGCACTAGTAAGCAATTTGCTTTAGGAATGCAATATTTTTCTGCATATTTAGGCAGAAAATTATATGTAGGACCAAACATTTGTATAAAAAATTTGCGGTGAAGTTTAAAAAAGTGGATTTATCTGAAATTTTTACTTAGCACCATTATTAGTGCCGGTCAGATTTCCTTACACAAATAGCCCAACGGATGAGGCACCAGAGCCCAAGTCCTTTTTAACTAGGCCAACTCCCTGCACGGGTTCCGTGAATTAGTCGCGACAAAACTCCGGACACCCGAGTATAAAAAAAACAAATACAGATGATGCTATACTGAGAAGACAGAGAGTAACATTTGACTCTTCAATTATATACCAATGTCAAATTTGACGTGCATATTTAGACAGAAAATTATATGTAGGACCAAACATTTGTGTAAAAAATTTGTGGTGAAGTTCAAAAAAGTAAATTTATCTGAAATTTTTAGTTAGCACCATTATTAGTGCAGATTGAAGACTGCAATTTTGCACTACTAGCAGTTCAACTCTATCTGATGGCAATCAAGCAGACTCATAAAATAGATTTGCCATTCAAAAACCATATTCCATTTAACATAGTAGAAACCATCTCTGTGATGATCCCCTTTGTATTCTTATCCAGATTTCCTTAGCATAAACAGCCCAAATCTTTTCCATCTAGGCCAACCTCTTGTATGATTCCATGGATTAGTCAGGTAAGTCCCCGGAAACCCCGGTTAGAAATAAATAAATAAATAAAACAGATGATGCCTCTACTGAGAAGACACACAGAGTAACATTTGACCCTTCAATTATATACCAACTTAAAATTTGACATGATCAGTTCAACGATAGTAGTACTATATTTAATGATTTTTTTAAAACTTGCACTTGTGCTTCAGCATAACTTTAAGATGGCATTCAAAACTACGATGCAATTGATATATAAGGGCAATTTGTGAATTATAAGACCATAAAATAATTAGAGGACTGGGAAACAAGGAGGTAAGATGAAAAGATTTCGAAATTACACTTCCATAGATAAATATATCCAACAAACACACAGCTGATGAGAAAATTTGCAACCAAGAAGCAGATGTCCAACAACCTGTGCTATTCTAAACCATCAATGGAGAAAACTAAGAATAGGAAGCGCGTGATTTATTAGAAAAACATGCTGTTAAAAAAAAAAAAAAACATGCTGTTAAGCAAAAAGCTGATACAGTATACATACTAAAACAAAGATGCACATATCTACAAATATCTATACGTGTGTTTGTGTGTGCGAGAGACAGAGAGAGGGAGAAAGATAGTAACTCATACTTTAACAAAGAAGTATCTTTTCCAGCGTCATCAAATAAGCTGCAGCTCATCTTCAGTTCTAACAAAAATACCTCTAAGAACTTCTACTGAGGTACCCAACATGAGCTAGCACAGAGAATCCGACCCTTCCATCCCTGCAACATCCAGTGACTGTCTTCATCGATCACAAACTCTTTGTGATATCCTCCTGCCTTCATCTTACCCCTCAAATTATTCACAATTGTCTTGTTTAACGGGAGGGGCCTGAAACCAGCCCTCATGTTGCGAACCTGCCACTGTTTGTATGACTCGGGCCTCTCAACCCTCTGCAAGCCCTCACATGCAATGACATTCATTACCTCGCGTCCATAGAACTCTTTCTCAAAATTCAACCACTCTTGGTCTTCACAGTTTATGGTAGTATCAAACACATCAAACCATGCAGAGTAGTGGGAGAGTGCCAATCGGAACCGTGTAAGAAAGAAGGGGGCATTGTAGGATCCATTAAAAACAGAATGGACGAAAATGTCAGGATTCATCTTCCTGATTAACTTCAAAACAGCATCCCTTGGACTGTCCACCACAACAGTATCATCGAGCAGGTTCTCAAACCGAAACAAACAGTTGACAGCAAGCAACTCATTGCTGTCAATCTTGAGGTCCTCAATTTTAATAGTTTCCCATTTTTGTGCTATGGCATTGTACTCAAAAGGAACATTAAAGCGCTCACAATACTTTGCCAAGTGACGGCCTGTCTTCTCAATTAATTCTGATGGCCGGAAACCAGGTTGGGGAAACTCTATCCCAGTAATTCGAAGCTTGGGAGCCCCACCAGGTACGGTTGGGAGATGTTGGATTAGGACTGGCCACTGGAAACCATATAGGATACCAAAATCAACAACGTGTAGTGTTCTTCTTGTAGATACTGAAGCTAGATTCAAGATCGTTTTATCTGCATAGAAAATAGACATCTTCTTGAATGGGCAGGCTGAAAGATAAAGCTGGTAAGCTTTCAGCTTCTCGGCAGCTATGACTCTCTTGGATCCTAGGGTTGCATAAATCTGGAATCCAGTGCCAGCCAAGCGTGCCTCAAGACCGTTTGCAAAGATGTGGGCCAGCCTCTGTATCCCATCACCAGAAGAAGAAGAAGCATGCCGCCTTATCTGCTTTAGTTGTTCATATGCAGTTCTGCGATCATCAGCAGCAACAGATTGTGCACAATTGATCAAAAGAGTCTTCAAATCCACCCCTCCATTTTTACTGGCCTGTTTCTTAGATTTGTGTAGTTTTCTGTTCTGCTGCAATGCCTTGCTCTTTCCATTCATCATTTCTTCAAAAGGAATAGTACAGTATGCAAGCTCCCCTTTTCCATTAGTGAAAAGCAAAACTCTATCAAACCTCTCTGATAACTCAACCTCTTCAACATAAACTGCCAACTGCTTGCTACTCCTCTCTTCTTCTATTTCACCATCTTCTCGGTGGTGGTTCTTCCTTGCCCTTGAACCATTAGGTGAGTACTCTTTCTCGTCCTTCTCTACCTTGACTACAACCTCCCGAGCCTCTTGTATTGATTTTGGAGGCAATGAATAGTTCTCCAAATTAATAATTAATTGATTAGCACTAGGAAGGAATTTACTAGCTTCTTCCACCCCTCTCTTGAACTGTAAGACGGATTCACTATCACTAAACTCATTTGAAACCAGTTGGGTACCGACAGAAGAGTCCACTGGAGCATTATAATTATTAATGATGCTGTTTATAGAACCAGATGACCACTGTGAACTGGGCTGCAAATTCGATTGGAAATTGTTCTCTGATAGATGCCTTTGTGTAACTGACGACATATAGTCTCGATCAACAATCCATTGAGTGTCAATGGAGTTGCCAGCACTAGCACCGCTGGTAGAACTATGCTCGCTGAACCTTCCAAAGAAATGATCATCTGGGCTTTCAACGTCTTGATTGAAGTTAAAAGAGGGTTGGTCAGGAGAAGAAGGATACTTCTCACCTATAATTTCATACAATGATTTCTCAGCAGCTCGCAGAGCCAAAGGATCATGAAACACGCTGGGCTTCTCATCCATGTTCTCCTCCATGAGTATCTGATTAATGTTCTTGAGAATTGTATCAGAAAGGTCATGGTCTCCAGGAGACTCCACTTCCGAGCTCAAGCTTGAAGGAGCAAAATTACCAGGGTCTTGAGCGGAAGGAAGGAAAGGAATATCCATGAAACCAAAATCCAGAGAGTCATCTTTGAGTTTAAATCTATCAGCAAGATTTTGAGACTGATCAAAACCGGGTAAAACAGTCTCCCCATCAAATTTGTGATCGTTTATCCAATCAGCCCAATCACTAAAATGTGGATCCATAATCACCCTGAATAAGTTTAGTCCTAATTGTATATCAAATCGGCCAAATAAAAAATCACCCTCAATAAGTTCAATCCTAATTGTATAAGAGGAAAATTGGGAGTGGAGTGAGAAAAATTGAGAGAGTAGACTTAGATGGTTGGACACATACAACAGAGACCTATCGATCAAAAGAGGAAGACTAGCGGTCATAGAACGTAAGAGACGGAGAGGGAGACCACAAATAACATGGAGTGAGATTATTAAAAACGACTTAAAAAAGTTAAATATAATAAGTGAAATGACATGTAGAAAAGATTGAAAACGGAGAATTCTTGTGGCCGACCAATTGATACGGGATTAAGGCATGGGTGATGATGGTGATGAAATCGAAGACGAAGATGAATAAGTTTAATCCTAATTAATCAAATTCCACTAACAAATTAACCACTTACCTCTAGGAACCTAGTTTAGTGACCCAAAGCAACACAGAATTTACAGAACCCAAATTGAATTAGGTATCAAAACACTAAACCCATGTTTCAAAACCCTAGAACCATCCGTACATGGAAAAACACCTAAACCAAATCAACAAAGGTAAAAATTAGAGGGGAAGGGAAGAAGAACTGAAACACGCATCAAAAAAACAATACTCTAACCATCAAGAAAATAAATGAAACATATCACAAGTAACTAAAAAAACTATACCTAGAAATGTTTTGGAATTCGTTAGCGTAACGAAACTAAATGAGACAGAGAAACTAACGAATAGAAGAGAGAATTGAAGTAGAAGAACCGTGGAAATCCACAAATACTAAATAAGATAGTAAGAAAGAACAGTTCAAGGACCAAGAATTAACAAGTGCTACACAGAAAAATGTATGCTTACCTGAGGAGAAGAAGAGGATTCTGAAGCGTAAGGGCCGGCTTCCAAAAAAAAATCTGGTGAGTCTGTGTTGTACAGAAGTATTGTATTACTAATATTTTATTTCTGAGAAATATATATAGATATATATATATATTTTAAATATATATATATTCTGGCAAATTGGGATATATTAGGTTTGTCACTCCTATTTTTAGAGGACTGAATGTAAAAAAATCCTACAAAAATTCGGTTTGATTTAGCTTTTTGAAAACTCTTTTTACAGTAATTTTTTGAAAACAATATTCTATTTTTTAAAATTTTGAGAACTATTTTTAAAGTTACAGATTATTGAATAAAGACTGACAGACTTGTGTGACGGATTGTAATTTATTAAAAATTATTAAATGGTCCCGAAATTATTATTCTAGACCAATTATTGGTTAACACGTGAGCAAAAATTTCAACAAAGTTTACCCATTAACACCAAAGCTATATAATAATTTCACTATAAAAAAAATTAATAATAATAACATTATTATTATTATTATTTTACAAAGAAGGTATCCCCAAAGTTATATAATAATTTCATATTATTACGTAATATTATTTTTATGGTTTTTTACTGTGTAAGTAGCCCTAAAATTTAATCTACTTGAAGTATATGTAAAAAAAACCCTCACAAGTAGGGATGGCAAATTTCTCATCCCCGCCGAGTCCCCTCCCCGCCCCGTTTATAGCAGGGATGGGACCCTTTTATGTAAACGGGGTTGAAAATGGAGGTAAATTTTGAAAACTCGTCGGAAGCAGGAGCGGGGATGGGATAAACCCATCCCGCCTCGCCCCGATTAAATATTAAATTACTAATATACTCTTACATTTAATAATTTATTACTAAATTAGATTTATTATATATATGAAAATAAGAAAAATTATGTTTTTTTAAAAAAATAATATATATTAATCGGGGTCGAGGTCGTGGTCGGGGCCGGGGCCGGGGCCGGGGATGGGGATAAGAGGTCGGGGGCAGGGGTGGGTATGGTGATAGTGGTGAAATTTTAAGCAGGGATGGGGATTGAAAAATTCAGCAGGGACAGGGACGGGGAATGAGATCCTCGCCCCGCCCCATCGTCATCCTTACTCACAAGCTATGTGTACTACGAACAAAGATCCTCTCCTGCAAAGAAGAGGTCCTGCACCAAATCCAATCACTCATCACTAGTGGGCCTTATCCAAGATTTCAAAATTAATGGTTGGATTTAGTATAGGACCTCTCCAGTGCAAGAGGGGATCCTTGTCCGTGTACTATCAGTCCAGGTCAGGGTCCGGTCTGATTACAACTTAATTTATTCAGGTACTTTCATATAAATTATTTACTCAAAAGTTCCAACGCGTAATATTTTAGCATAGACTTGAGTTTTCACACGTTAGGACAACCGCACGTGCGTAATTTTACTGTTATTGACCAAGTCCATGTAGTCTTAAAGTATATAAGTATAACTTCTTTCCTTTTTTTTTTTAATCTTTTCTTTGAAGTATACAAGTATAACTTATCCATAGTATAAGTAGCCCAATAGTCGTATAAGTAGCCCAGTAGTCATGACCATTATTGGGCTCTCGTGAGTCACAAGTCTAAAGTCTAAAGTCTAAAGTCTAAACCAAGGGGGTATTGTGTTCTTAACTCACGTGGGACCGTGGAAAAGAACCGTCAGATTGGAATAAGCGTGAATATGTGACTCCAGACCAAGACGCGTATTACTCTCTCGTGATTCGACAAGAGTCGAAGACTAAGACGAGTAAGCGATTAGACGAATTTTGTGCGGAAATAACAATTTTAAATTGACAATTATTATCATATTCTTTTCGTCTCATATTAATTATTTATTTTAAAATTTTTGAAATATAAAATATAAATATATAAAAAAAATATGAATAAAAATAACATCTAATGACTCAAAAATAAAATATAATAATGAATCAAAATTTTTTTAAATGAATTATTAATATGAAACAGAGATAGTAATAATTCTAAATTAATAATGAAATAATTACATTAAAGTGTTAAATTCTTAATTTAATAATGTTATAATATTTTAATACGGTGTGATATGTTGTATAAGTGTTATTTTGTCAATGTGAATGTGTCATGTGAGTTTTATATCTTATTGTATATATATTGTAAGACGTTGCATTGTGACACAACGAGTTGAAATATTAATTTAATAATCAATAGAATGGGCATGGAATAGGTGAGGAACACGGAAGACCGATTTATGTTAGGACTCCACTGAATTTTTTTTTTATTTATTATATACCTATAAATTTTAAAATTGTAAAGACTACCCCTACTAATTTTTTTATAATACTTCTACATTATATACTTAGTCCGCAGAAGTTTTATGTCATAAAATGAGTAATCAACTCTCTCTCTCTCTCTCTCTCTCACCGTATTAATAGTAGAGCCACGTTCACTCGAACTTTCTTATTGTTCTAGTTTTACATGTTTATCTTTTAATGATTGTATAAATGACCCTATAAATTTGCAAAATTAGTACTCTTGGTCTTAAAAGAAGAGGGACAGACGTGTTTACCTTTAGTGATTAGGTTGATCTAGTAACTTGTGTTTTTTATTTTTAATTATATTATTATTCACCAGTAAAAGAAAATTTGGAGTCATCACGAGGACATGAAAGGATCCGGATCCACCAAGAAATGAGTCTTAAATCAAGTGGTAAAGAGTAGGTGAGATTGGAATACGTTTTAATCTTACTTTGGTGAAAAATGAAGAGAGAGAGAGAGAGAGAGAGTAGGAGATGTATAAATTAAGCAACACAAATGTAGTCATCACGAGGACAAGAGGGATCCAGATTTGATAAGAAATGAGTCTTAACTAAAGTGGTAGAGAGTAGGTGGGAGTCGAATAAGTTTAATCATATTACTAATAGATTGTGTTTTTTGTTTTTAATAATATCATTATTCAACGTTGTCCTCACTTTAAAAAGAATAAGTCACAAGGATCTAGATCTAATAAGAAATGTGTCTTAACTCAAGTGATAAAAGAGTAAGCGGGAGTCGAATAAGTTTAAATCTTACCTTGGTGATAAATGAAAAGAGAAAAAGAAATGTATAATTAAGTAACACAGAAGTAATCATCCACACGGCTTGCTCAATTGCCAAGGCTTTTAAAGGTAGTCTCCTTCACCCTTAACTTCGAAAATTACCAAACATGAGGTCCAAATTACTTAAATAATGCACCTGGTTTGTATGAAATTATTGCATTCGAAGTTTGTACATAAATCATTCGATAATTCACTCTAATATTTTTTAAAAAAAAAATTAAATCACAACACTTAATATGGTGCATACGGTCCAATTCAATTCAATACGCTTTCAGATTAAATTGAAACCAAATTAATTCTAACTATTTTTAAAATATCGGAATCAAACCATTGGGAAATGGTACCGAAAGTGTGAAAGACTCTACTCTTTTGATAATTAAAAAGGGCAACACTATATATACACGGCAATATCAGCCTAAAAATGGACGACAGCAAAGTTGTTTGTCCAAGTGATATTGCAGGCACTGTAATTAAAAAATGAGATTCGCATGATCATTATAGACATCTATAATACCCCAAACTTTATCTTAAAATATAAAAGTGCATGAGACAACAACAAAGAAAATAGATAGGTTGTTCCTCGATCATTCAACCTCCAAGATCTGAACAATTTTTCAGCCAATGATGATACTTTTAAAATATACTTTATCTTCCCTTTTTTGTTAGTTTTTTTATTTTTAAAAGAATTTGGTAGTGTTCGATAAATTAAAAAAATATTGAATTTGGTAGTCGCCCAACTAGGATCAACAATACATTGCATGTAGTCGGCTGCGGAGTGAATGTTTAGGTATGAATCATGTTTCCTAGTGACGTACAGGTGCCATATAAAACATTTTAAATATATATATATATATACACACACACACACGCACACACATAGATGAACATATGTAAAGTGTAAACTAATAATCAATCCTTGAAGAAAGAAGCAAGAAAGGATATAAAAAATTATATGTTCATGTATGTGTGTGCGTGTGTGTGTATATATATATATATATATAGATTTCTAGTCAATTCCATACCCTGTCATCAAATATTCATATAGACCAAGAAAATATGATAATAATGTACCAACATGCACATCTTTTGGCTTTTTCCCATGTATCCAGAAAGTCAAACCATGGACTATTTTGCTTTTAAGATTAATTCCTTAACGCTCATAATCATCATCTGATCATATGTTTGTGTTTAAGACATTTCAAAATGAATTATAAAACAAGTTTGATCAAATTATGTAGTAAAGAAGAAAAAAACTTGGTTATATACGGAATGTATAAATATTTCATGATGTTCAAATAAATCCTCCATAATTCTCAAATTTTGCAAATAAGGATATTTTTGTCAATTCAGAGACTAAAATACCTTAAATGTCTTTAAGACAAAATAAAATTTAAAAACAATGATTTCAATTTTTAAAGAAATATTAAGAGTATTTTGGGATTTTTATAACAAACTTTGTCAAATTGATGGTCTATTGATATTAGGAGGCCATTTGCATATATTTTTCATTGTTATGGATTTATATGCACATGCTAATAACATAGGTGCTTTTTGCACACTTTTTATTTATGATGATCCTTTTTCTTTCTTTTTTGACACCCCTAATAAGCTTAGTAGATTTATTTAATTCGCCGTTGTTTCTCATTTTAGAGTCTTTTAACTACTTATTAAGATTTGACAAAGTCAAATCAAAACGAACATTTAACCTCTTCTTTAAAAATAAAATATCATATTATTTGAACTAATGTTATTTTTTTATTAGTAAACGAATGACATTTTTTCATGAGTGGTTTTAAACACACCAAACTAGTGGCTGAAGAGATTAAATGGAGATTTATAATTATTTAAAACTTTCTGTCAACTAATATTTTATTTTATCTACATACTACCAAGAATTAACAAATTATTTCAAAACTTTTGAAAATAGAAATTAAGCAATAACAGATAGCACTATTATGGTGGGCGCTCTAGTTGATGATATAACGAGGACCCACTTTTGGTGAATTAATATTCAATGTGATATCATCATAATTTGGATCATTTCAAATTTTCAACCTTGTTCGTCACGTAAAAGGACATCTGTCCTATAAAAACATTATTTTGATTCCAATCTAATGTTCTAGATAATCAAAACCACCATCTACGCGATTCCACTTTCTTCATTTCAAACCACCATTTATGACTTCTTGTGATTCGTGAAAAGAGAGAATGTACTAAATGGGTATTTCACTTTAGGACAGATGAAACTTATTAGGATTGTCTTTGTTGGAAATTTTTATATATATAAAAAATAAAAATTATTTATGGTCTTATGCACTAAGTTTCCTAGTGTAGGATTGCAGTGTGATTATTGATACTTGATAGATTGAGTTGTACTTTCTAATTTAGTTTGATACTTGATAGATTGAGTTGTACTTTCTAATTTAGTTATCTAATTGGGAGTATCGTTTTATACAGTTGGATTGTAATTTTCCAACTTATTTGGTATGATTTAATTATAATCATTTATATCTAAGGTTCCTTGATAAGAAGGGAAACTTAGGTATGTTTATTTGTAAAGAAGCCGTCCCCCTGTTGTTGTTATATATAAGGGTTTTAAACTCCTATTCAACCCTATCAAAGAACAACTCTCAGAATGGGATAAAATACTTTAATGTTTTACACGATCACAAAGAATTGTAAAGCTATCCTCCAAAATCTAAAGGTACGTGTGCTTTAATCATCAATTAGGTATGAGACTAAATTTGAAAATTTATCTTCTTTGAGAAGTCAGCCAATTTTTTTTGTTAAAATCTTATGTCAGAAAATCAGCATGTCTAGTCATAAAATAAAATAATATAAATTTAAAGAATTTTCAAAATAAATTGGTGGATTTACAATTATCCATACATATTTTTACAAACTTTTATTCATCTAAAATAAAAAAAAAACCAATAATAATAAGATTATCCAAAATAATAACATTTTTTTTTCCTAAAATGGGTTGGTGCGTCATGATAGGTTAACCCAGCCTATTTTGACCCAACCCATATTTAACCCATTACAAGCGGGTTGAATATGAGTAACAATCCAAATGTGACTCACCCATATTTGACGATATCCAAACCTAACACAACCCATCCGTTTGCCACTGCTAACGAAAACCAACCCTGACCCACACGGGCCCAGGCTCAAAAACTAAAAATGAACCAATTGACTCTAAATATATATCTAAGAGTTCGAGACTCAAACAAATGTCCAAAACGAATTTTGGAAACCCACGGCACATATCTCCAAACGTAGAGAAATGAAATACATAAAATTATAAAAAATAAGAATGCCCTAAAAATGAAAATGGGGCCAGGCCTCACAAGTAAACTACCATAAATGCCCTCATTAATTAAACTGATATTTTTAGTTTTTTTTCCAACAGAGGAAATAAACAGTGAATAGTTAGTTCTAACTTCTATCTAAGCTATAAGTTGCATTTTGAATATTTATCTGAAACATTTGGAAGGGTGGTTGTAACGTGCAACATGCAGTGGAAATATGATGTCATAATTACCAATACTTTTGAAAAATATGGTATTTCATAAAATTGGGAAGAAATGGTGCTTTGTTTATGGATTTCTGAGGGAATTTAATGAACATGGTTTTCTACCAATTAGATGATATTTGTACAAGACGTGTGCATGCAGGTGCAGGAATTTCTGATTTGCATATCCCCTCCCTCTATTTGTTATTCTCCAGTTATTACAAATTTTCACTTTTTTACAACACTTTGGTTGACATCACTGTAGTCGAGGCCCTAATTCCTTTTGTTTTTTCATTTGGAAAACTCACAAAATGCGTGTGTAGCTGGTTTATGCTTCCAAGTTATAGGCTCTTGAAATCAATGTTGGGCTGGACCCATTTTGGAGCAAACTGGAGAGAGAAAATGGTGTTTTGGCCCAATATGGATAGCAGTTAACCTCAAGCCCAATCCATATACATAGGCGGGATTCCATCAACAAACTCATAAACGAATCCCTGTAATGGTGATGGTGGGTGCGGTTGAGGTGGTGGCGGCGAATGGCGATGTATTCGGAAAGCTGAAGAAAGGGTTTGAGTGGGACTGTTCGTGGAAAGGAGGTGGGTAAGTTCCATTCTTTTGCAATTTCCTCTTCTGCATAAGGACATGAACACTTCTTCGTTGAAAACAATTTGTACTTCATTGCATTGATGATTGCATTACAGGTCTATGTTGGAGGTATGATTCTATTGCGAAAAATCCTGTTATTGTCAACTTTCAAGTAAGAATTTTACATGTTTTCTGTAGAACAATATATATAGCTCAAGGAGATTTTCTATAATTTACCCATTATATAGTGTTAGTGGACAAAAGTGAATAAACTTTTATCATTTTTTATTTTTCTCGTGCTTTTAGGATCTCTTAAACCATTTCTGATGCAAAATGTCATTTTTGCATGCTAAATTTATATTTTGAGAAGAGTTACAATGTCAAAATGTTATATTTTAGCAATTCTGCTCCAATGGTGCATTTTATTCAAAATGCTATTTTTTTGACACAACCATCATTATTTTTCAACTACCATTCCCAACTACAATTTTCAAGAACCATTTTTTTTTCTCTGTTTTTTTTTTTTTTTTTTTTTTTGAGTGTTTGTATTTTATTTAGCTTATTTGCCTTATTAAAAATAAATAAATAAAAACACTAATATATATATATATATATATATAAGCACCACAGACATATATATACACACATATATATTACACACAACAGACATATATATATACACACACAACACCGACATATATATATATATATATATATATATATATATATACACAAGCACAACTGACATATATATATATATACACACACACACACACAAGCACAACACCAAATTGGCAGCCCATGAAAGAGAGAAGAGACAAGAAAGAGAGCAATAACAAATTTAGCAATAGCTATATGTTATGTTATATTTGGCATAATATTTGGCAAAATTATATTTTGACAGCCTACTTGGCATGCCATTGGAGAACCCACTTTAAACTCACATGATATATTTTGAAAATAACTGCCCATCCCATTAAAATTGCTCTTATATTCTAAAAATGGACTCACGTAAAAATTAATTTGAGATCGTCATATGCCATAACTTTTAGCGTACGGTTTGTCTTGAAATTCTGTCATTACCAAAATGACATATTATAAGGATCATTAGTCATCACATTCTTGCTTTTACTATCACTCATTATTCTTCATTCCTGTCATTGATATATTGTTGGGCTCAAATTTTTTTCTTTAGAATTTCGTGCTCAATCCTTAACATCTTAAAAGAATGGCAAAATTGACAAGCTAATACAGTAACATGGTATAGAGCAGTGGTTTTGGAGATATTGGGTTTAAGTTGGAGAGCTATAGAGTTTGATACACGTTCATGGCCCAAAACTTAACAGCTTAATATATTAGCCTCGTTTTGGGTGATCTTGGCTTTTAAATCTGGGTGCTATGTAACTTCATAAACATTGTTGGACTGAAATTAAATTGTGTGAGAAATTTTCTTGCTCAAGGTAGAAAATTTTCATTTGATCCTGTATATGAAGCTTGTAATTCTTCGAAATTTTCCTGCTGCCCAATATATAGAAGATATGTCCCCTGTATGTGTGTAACTTGTTCATGTTCATGACTGCAATGAATCATTCAAGTGTGTATCTATCTATTCTAAAATTTTCAAATAGTTTAGTTATATCACTCTATCAATTACTACAGTTATACATGCACTAAATAACTAATTCTCTCTCTCTAAAATAAAAAAAAAAAATTCCTTATATGTCATTTACATACACGTCAAAAATTAGATCATATAGCATTCAATCACTGTTTTATCAAAGTTCGGCTTGACAAAAAGTTGTTAAGCAACGAGCAAACCATCACATTCTTTTAGATGTTCTATCATGTTTGATAAATCCAACAATCCCTATGTATGCATCTCATCTGTGCATGCACATATTCCCGTATGCAAAGATCATCTTAGTTTCAAAATCTAACTTTCAAGATACAAGATTTAATCCCTCTTTTTCCATTTTGAATCAGTTGATTTATGCGCATGTCACAACCTGCAAATACAAAGACAAAAAAACATCCTCCATATCACATATATAAGAATTTCACATACGAAATTGAAAGGATCAAAACTTAGCCTGAGATTGAGAATGGGCCAAAATAGTTTAGCAATCTTCAGCACAGATGAGCAAAGTTGTGGACCATTCCAAACTACTTTCATGCTTTAACCGAGTTGTTTTTAATGTTGAATTTATAACAGAAGTCATATATAGCCATAAATCTGTAACAAAAATATGTAAATTATGCAGTTATCCGCTAATTATGTGGTTCATTATTTCAGCTTTTTCTCCTCCTTTTCAATCATATATACTCCATGTTAGCCTATAACCCTATGAGGCATGCACAAACACTGGTATTGCAATCTCCTAATTTTCGGAAAGAATAATCACCACCATACACTACTTCCAAAAGTACCCATGATACAAACAAGTCTGCGAAAATGCCAATATACAAAACTCACAATAAACAGATATTTTTTCCATAACTTCTTTCCAGACTGGTTTCATGTGATCAATCCAATCCCAATTGACCTGACCACTAATCCTATATCAATAGAGTTAACAACGAGCAACTAAAGATCTAAATAATATTTATAATACAAAAAAAGCATTACTGAGTAACTAGTTCGATCAAATAACAACTATAATGCATACTGATAGTTTTATGATGCAAACCATTTCTTATCACAAACTGATATATAGCCTCCTAGTTAGAACTAAACATATCTTTTTAAGACTATAATTAGCAAATAGTTATTAGCATATAGAGCTTCCTCTGAAAGTATCATACAAAATTCCAATTTTTTTCCCATACCATAAGAAGAAGAAAGCAACAGGCCAAACATCCCAATCCCCTACCCCTGTTCTAGCTGCCAAAACAATTTTACAGGCACACTAAAGAGCCATGTTACAACACCTAGGACCCAATTTAGAACACAACAAAAATTATGGGATAATATTAATAAAGACATGACCATAATGATGCCAAAAACAGAGGCTTCAAATATAAAGCTGACTGGCTTTCAACATTCCCTCAGTAGGTTTACACTACTGATAAGGAATAGAATCTCATGTCAGTGAAGGCGTCATATTCAAAACCAGAGTTTAAATTGCCTCATGAATAACATTAAAGTGTGACAAGGTATTATGTTTTTAAGGTAAAACTTTCTTGAAGCCTAGTTAGGTCATTTTCTATGTCAAATGTCATGACAGCTCAGTTTCTATGCCACCATTCTCAGTACTCTCGGTTAATGGGAAGAAAATTGGCCTTCCGTAATTCAAGGTATGTGGCTTGTGAACTAAAAATAAAAAATAATAATAATAAAAAAAAAAGTGATTAAAATAACCAAATAAAACTTTAATACAACTGAGATTTGATATTTCATTCTGTTGAAGACAGCAAGTGATAAACAGTTCATAAACACATAATTCAATAAAAATAAATGGTGTAGAAAATACCTTAGAGGATGGAATGACGCATGTATTTGAAGAGGATGATGATCTTGCATGTTATGCTGCTTGTGGCAGTGCTTGAGAAGTTCCAATCTCGTTACGAACCTATGACAATTAGACAATTTAACACTCTTAACTAAAACCTTTAAATATACAATAAAAATGATGTAAACAGCAGGGTACTACAGTGATTAGACTACCGGTGCAGACCATTAACTACACACCACAGTTGATGCACTAGAAGTGTACACCACTCTTTTCACTGTCTTGAAATCAAGGCAAGCTTTTAAAATGCTTAGAGTCCCATTGATTGCTCTTCTGTTCTTGACTTGTTCTGGTTCTTTGTCTTCAAAATCAATGGGATGAGCCACATGAAACACTCCAATGCATCCTTCAATGGCTGCATCAAAACTGTCTGGCTGTTCAAGATCAGCATTGAAAATCTGGAGTTTTTCGGATGCGCCTGGTAGGTTTGTGAGGAAGCCGACATCTTTCTTCTTGTCTAGTGATCAATTGCCTTGGATAAAGGGATCAAAATGAAGGCGGTATTGGAAGAGACGCGAGAGAATCAATCAAAGCCTAAAAGAAAATTGGCGAAGAGAGAAAAACCGATTTGCATCTCAATCTGAAACAGAAACAAACCAGTCTTAGATATCACTGCTATAACTCTCAATTAAGTATATATTTTTTCGATTTATTATAGGGGGACTAAGAATTAATTGAATGGAAATATGTATAACATGTTAACTTATTAGTGTATTTTATCTTGACCCCTGCGAATGGAAAAAGAGTTAGAAACTCTCAGATAGGGAAGAGAATTTCACAGTTTAACAAGGATATATTATTCCAACTACCATTCGATAGAAGAGTTTAAATTGTAGAGCCTCGAATAAAGGCAACCATGCAAGTGTTTCACTAGTCTAAATTTGAGAAATGATATATATATAAAAGGCCTGTGTCCGCACGTGAAAGGCTTACTTTTAGCAGGCTTAGGTAAAGAACAGAATTTTTTTCACAAAACCACAGTGGGTTCTAAGGTGCATTGCATTAAACGAGTGAAATAAAATAAACTATTTGCATATATGCGTGCGCGCGCGCGCGCGTGTGTGTACCTGTAAAGCAGGTCATAGACAACAGCAGAGCAAGTATGGCCGATATGACTTCTCTTCTTGTTTGGTGATTGAGGTGTACCTATCATGTGATTTTTAACAATCATATAATAAGTAATAAATGGTTTAAAGATAACTCAGATCAGATTGTAAAAATGATCATAATCCATTCATAATAAAAAAGGAACAATGATTTTAATTAATAAATGCATTGAATAATCATATTGTAAAATTTTCAAATATCTAATACTTAACGCTGACCTTAAAAGTTGCCTTGTCACTAAGAAATTAATACATGTAAGGCTTATTCCTGTAGTAATATATAATTTGGTAAAAGAAAACATATTATAACAACTTCCATTTCTGTTCCTTAGATATGCTTGTTTGGGTCTCAGAAACAGAGCCTAACACAAGATAGAATCTGAGGAAGTTAAAAGAAAATGGCAAGTAGTAGTAGATGATCCATCATCAAGGGGATCAAAAATTTGCAATTTACTCAATAACTCCTTAATATCAACAATTGACTCGCACAGAACAAATAATTCTGAGAGTGGAGAGATTTATATAGACAACTTAATGTGCAAAATATGAACCAATAGATCACCCTGATAAAGTACATGTTCTCCAGCTACACCCACAACAATTCCCTACAAATGGATCTCATTGCTCAGTCATTACTGAAACCTAAATTTGATTATAATTTTTTTCTTAAGCAATTCAACTTATTGAATTCAGAATGTAGTTCTTTTTCTTTATTCACCCAAAAAAATAAAAAAATAAAAATTATTGAAATCAGAAGGTATTTAATGGATTTTCTTGTAAAATTTGCAGAGGAATACAAAACTTCTAATATATATAGAATTTACCTAACACCAAATTGAGAGAGATGGAGAGAAGTTATCCAGTTAACACCAAATTAAAGTCAAATTAACATCAAATGAACATCAAACTAACACCAAATCCATAAAAATTAGCACCAAGCCGATCTATCTCCACCTGGAGAGTGACTGTGACGGATCTATTTCCCAATTGAGCCAACACATGCTGCAGTTACTTCACTTAGTCACAATCGCAACCAAAATCACACACACAGCAAACATTTTCAATGTACAAAATGAAGAAATCAATGACAAAGGAAACGATCTACCGTGAAGAAGACCAAAACCCCAAACCTTCGAGCTAGGGTTTGTTCTTTCAGTGAGAAGCACAAAATGGAAGAGAGTATCTACCTAGTCTACCGGCGGTCGGCGGAAGTGGCGGTGAAAATGGACGATGTCCGTGGAGACACGACGCTGTTCTCAACACCTTGTGCTTTGCCTTTGCATTACACTTTGTCGGCTTCTCTTCCTTGCGAGCTAGGTTGAAAGCGATTTCGAAAATCTGATAGCCTCGCTGGAGAAATAGACGCACACACAGTGTGTTAGAGAGAGAGATGGGACGGAGATGAAGATGAGAAGATGAGAGAGTTGGTCTGAAAATGAAATGAAGGATCGAGAAGCTGACGTGAGTGTAGGAGTAATTTCTTTATCATCAGGTGTGAGAGAGAGAATAAAGTGAAAATTATAGAATAAAGTGAAAAAGTAGTCCAAAATCATGTTTAAAAATTATAGAATTTTAAAAAGGTTTTAGTGGCGGCCAATTTTACCAGGGCTGTAAGTTGGGTTGGCCCAACCCAGTTTAGTCCCAACCTAACTTTAAACCGAATCAGGTTAGGTTGGGTCAACTCGAATTATACTCAGCATGGGTTAGGGTTAGAATTCGGATCGTATATTTTCGGGCGAGTTGGGTCGGGTTGACGGGTTGAGGTTTTTTTTTTTTATATATAATTTTTTTTTTTAAATATATATATGTATATTATATTATATTTAATCGCCTCCATCTCTATATTACAAGACGAATAAATGGAAGCTGGGAAGAAGGGGATAAAGCTTACGACCAGGTACCAAACACACTCTGTGCAACTGTTTGATGGAAGATTAGTTGGTTGTCCGGAATTAGATCTGATTTATTCATCTTCAACAAATATTTCAAAGATTAGATCTGCTTTATTTCTTCAACAAATATTTCAAAGATTAAATCTGAAATTTGGGTTGGTCTGGGCTAACCTGCCCAAGTTGCAGCCCTAATTTTGGCTCCCACAGGGCCACGTCTTCTTTTCATATTACCTTTTTTTTTTATTATTATTATTAAAATAATATATTATATAATAATAACATATTACTTAATGAAATTTATATATTTATTTGTTTCATAATTTAACTATTTCTAAAATATTTGAAAAATAATTTTTTTTTTTGGCTTTGTGTTATCTTTTATTTATGAATTGTAGATGTATTTTAAGCAATACAAGAAAGTCAAGCTCTCCAACAGGTATACCTATAATAAGATCAAACAAATTTTATTTTAAGAGATCTCCCTCCACATCATTGAAAAATAAAAAATTAAACAAAAATTTGGATTATGACGTAATAAATAATCATTTTACTGTAAAAACAAACATGAAGCTTCCTTAAATCATTTAACTTCTTCTTAGATTTTGTTAGTTCTACATTTTGGGAATAAATTTCATGCAACTTTAATTGTGATATAGGCTTCTTTTTGTTTTTCTCTAAGTTAGTCGCATTATAGTTTCAATTAATTGTTTAATAGTAATCTAATAATATACCAAATTTTAGACAAAACGCATATAATTTACATTATTATATTAGTATATGAGCCCTTTGTTATATTAGTATAATTTATATATCTTTGATTCTTTCTAATTCTATATAGGATGTGAATATAACTTATAATGACTAAATATGATTACGATTTTTGTGGTAGCTTTTAAGTAGTTTTGGAAAAAACAGTTTGCTTTTTTTTTAATGATTTTTTATATTTAATTCTCTTATTTATACATTTTTTTTTTAATTTTTATATATTGATGTTGATTTTTTTTATAGGACAAAGTACAAAAACTCCCTCCACGTATAACTTTTTTCAGTAAACCTCGTCTAATTTTTTACCAAAAAACCTTCTTCAATTTGTATCATCTTCTAATAAATTTTCCTTATTTAAATTTTTACCAAAGAATCCCCTAACTATCTGAGGGGGGTAAAATAGTTGATATTTGAACCAAAAGGCCCTTTTATTTAAATATTAATTTTTTTGAATTTTAAAAATTCATATCTCACAAATCGTACATCCAAATATTGCAAATAATATATGCACGGAAAGTTTATAAAACAAGGATTCCAGACATATAAGATTTGTTTAACAAAACTTCATAATTAGAAAGAAATAGACAATCTAAAAATTTACTGTAATAATCTTATTTTATTTTATTTTAAAAAAATACTTGGGTTATTTCCAAAAAAAATTTTAGAATTATTCATTTTTATATGGAACATAACATATATATATATATATATATATATATATATATATATATATATATATATATATAAAGCCCCAATAGAGATCGAATATTCATTTTCATTTTTTTCTAAAATGGTGAGGCTATAAAATTATGAAAATACTTTGACGCAATATATGATATCTCATGAAATCGATTTTTGTTGGGGCTAAATTTTTTTATTTATTCTTCTTTATATGTAAATGAATCATTCTAACAAATTTCTTGCAAATATCTCAAGTATTTTATTTTTAAAAAATAAAATAAGATTATTGAGTGGATTTTTAGATTGCTTATTTTGTCTCTGGTTATAAAGGTTTGTTGCACAAATCTTATATTTTTGGAATCCTTATTCATAAGCTTTCCGTACATATATTATTTACAGTTTTTAAATGTACGATTTGTGAGAGATGAATTTTTGAAGTTCGAGAGAATTAAAATTTAATTATTAAAGGGCGTGAATTAAAATAATTAAACTTTCATTATTATAACACTAATATATATAGTTTCAAAAACATTACAAAAAATATTTTAAAACAAATTTCAACAAAATATTTTTGTTAGCCTCACATTTGAATTGGGGTTTGCCCTTTATAATGTCATAAAGGTATCTCAGGTCCATTTCAAAGAATTATCCTTAAGTTTGGTGTCCTAAGTGCATCACGGTGACTTGCAGGGTATTATGGTCCTTTTACATTCGTGAGATATCAATTCATATTGCTCAAGGAAGGTACATTGCGTTGACAGTACTCATTGCAGGCCAATTAGGGTTACATGTGTTTGGTTCGGAAGATAATATTATGTTACAGAGGCTATCAAGGGCATTTCAGTCCTTTTATACATGTATTATATCATTATACACTTTCTTGGGATACTGCATTGTATTGAATTGCACAGAATCTCAATTTGATTGAGTATACACAACTGTAACTACAGTTTTCTGTATATATTGATAAGTATCCTTCATAAGGGTATTTTGGTAATTATAGCGATGAACAATTATGTGACATGTGTCATGTGATTCTTGTGTGAGAAATTAGGGCCTGATACGCATTGCTTAGTGGTTAAACTTGATATATATTGATGATATATTCAAATACACAAGATGTCAAGTAACATACTCATTAGAGGACAAAATGGTGAACTGTATCAAGGGCATTGTGGTATTCTCACTCACGGAATGTCAGAATATTCCTTAGCCAATGATTGATTGATGGTGCCATGTGGATTTCCTCTTTAGGGTAGGAGTACAAGCCAGTGTTACATATATATATCTTGTTATAGCAATGAGCTTCCTAAGCCTAATTGAACATCTTTGTGAGCTACATTGGCATACACTCGAGACACAAAGAACAATGAGCAATTACTGAGTTTTGAAACTAATTTGTAATCCAATTCAACTCTGTAATCCATATAGTGCGAGTGTGTTGTTGAAGATGATGGACAAAATTGTGTGTTACTATTTTGCTGTTGTTGAGGGTTGGTTCAGAAGTTTCATCCAAGCTTAAATTCATTTCATAGGTGTCTCGAGGGTGAGGCAAGTGTGTTTTACCATTTTATGATTGCAGAATCATTGTTCTTGTGCTTATACTTTCTGTAGTTGATTTTGATGTCTTAAACCTCCATCCGTGCTTGCATTTTCAGGTTTAGCCTTTTTGACATGAGTGTATATTATTTAGGGTAAAATGCAAAAAAAACCCTCGAACTATTGAGGTATTGCAATAAACCCCCTGCACTATAAAAAAAAACCCCTCTGTACTGTGAATTTGTTGCAATTTAGTTTTTGGCCAAAGATTCCGGTATCGAAAAAGCCAAAAGACTGAAGTACCCTTATTAAAAGGACACAGTTTAAGGCAAATGAAAGCTTCAGTTGATGAGGTGGAAAGGGAATTCTGAAGGACCAATGAAAAGTGGATAAGTCACCAATTGTGATAAGGTATATTCCCTCCACCACACAATTGATCCAAGCCATTTGCGCCAATTTCTGTCTTCATCACCAGCTACTAGTTGTAGAGCTCTGCAACTTGTTAAACCCTAAACACCTCTCTTGCTACAAGGTGACTGAAAACCCTAACACCTCTCTTGTTAAAAGTCTAGAACTATTGATCAGTAACTTCGTAGACAGAGTGTTGATGGGTTTGTTGGAGACCGAGTTGACTCGGCAGAGCCACGGGTGAATCCGGAAATCACGTTCTGAATTGAAACTCTCGGGTATGGACTGAACTTCACCCGACAGCGACGGTATGGTATATCCCATGGACGACGACAGTCTCTGTCCTCCATAGCTTGCTGGGTCACTACAGTAGCTACCCCATCTTCCAACATGTAGCAAGTAGCAACCCAAAGCTCGCTACCATCCACGGCGAGAACCAGTTCACAAAAATGACCTGGTCATATTCTTTCACGGCTACCCAAAAATTACTGTGGTGTTTCAATCAAGGCTGTCTTCGAAGTTCATGGTGTAGACGCCGCTCTCGGTTTGGTATAGAGATGAAGCTCTGCCTTTTGGTCTTCAATGGAGATAGAGAAGAGAGAGAAAATCCCGTTTTGAACTGAAACTCTCGAGTCTGGACTGAACTTCACCGGACGGCGACGGTCTGGTATATCCCATGAACGGCGACGGTCGCTGTCCTCCATAGCTTGCTGGGTCGCTACAGTAGCGACCCCATCCTCTAACATGCAGCAACCCAAGGCTCGAAAGAATACTGGCTCGGAAGGAACGAGAGTGAGATGCGCTTTCATATTCAGGTTGAACGTTGTTGACTCCTTTAATCAGGAATTGCAGGACGTAAATCATGAATAGCAGGACGCAACTGAACCTATCTCTTTCAGTTTTTAGCTTCCATTAGCTCTAGAAGACCTTCATTTCACTCCTTGTTGTAGAAAGAAAGTTTCTAAGGGAAAATTGTGATATTGGATTGCTAACTTATATATATATTTATATATATATATATATATATAAACAGAGAGACAAATTATTACCTTTTACTCGATTAAGAACGACAGTGACAGAGAGGAATAGATCACGACAAACAGAGAGAGAAAGTGATGAATCAAACACGAACCCTATGGCGCGAGAGAGGAGATACCACCACGAACAGGTATTGATAGGGATTGAGAGGAATGATGAATCAATTTAGGGGTTTTCTAATAATTGGGTTAGGGTTCCAACGGTTGGGTATATATATAAGGTGTGTTTGGCTGCAACGGTGACAAACAGGGGCAAATTGGTCCTTTAAAATTTGTAAGGGCAATATTGTCCATCAAAATCAATTTCTATGTCACGTGACACACGCATGCTCAACTTAAGGTCATTTTTGGCCGGATTATTGCCGGAGGGGGCAATCTGTAACAAAATTGACTGGTTCAAGAGGTATTTTGCATAATTTGTAGTTCTGGGGGTTGTTTGCATGTTCACCAATAATTCGAGAGGGTTTTTTGCATTTTACCCTCTTCATTATATCTTGCTGTGAGTTACATTTGTATCATTTGAGCAAGTTTCTACAATTGATTCAAGGCTGTACAAGTTGAACTTTGCACAGATAAATGGTTATTTGGTATTTTGGCCTTTGAAACCCCAGCTTTTAGGGTTTTCTGCAGAAACAGTAATTTTGAACAGAGATTATTGTATACCTTGCTTCTTTCACTGTGATTATCATATAAGCACGTGTCTAAGGTTGATATAAGGTTCTGAGAACCATTTGGTGGCACCTGTTCATACGAAATTATAGATTTGCCCTTCGACTACAGGTTAAGCAAAATCGAGCTTATTTGCTGCTGTTTGATACTTATAGTTGTACTATCAATCCTATATTGTGTAATAACTTGAGTATTGATGTTATTCACCATTTTCTATGTATTTGGTGAGTTGTGAGAGCTTGTAGGGTCCGAGCAGGGTTGTTTAGGACATGGGAAATGCTTGTGTGCATTGTTATGAGTTAAGGTATGTGCAGAATGAGAGACAGTTAAGAGTGGGTCTACTTACATTACAATTAGTGGAACTTATATTGACTGTGGTCAAGAATCAAGGTTTTTGATCTCTAATTAAGAGAAATTTTCCTTGTAAAATTACTGAGCACTTGTGGTTAAATGTGTGAGCCTATTATATTAAAATTATTCTAAATGTTAAAAAAAAAAAAAAAAAACCAATTCATTCCTTCTTGATTCATCATTTATATCACCAGTAAATTACCAACCAATTCAATTTGAACACTCTTATGTAGTTGCATTATTGATTCAAAGTTGCTATACTATCAATTTAAAATTATATTTGCATTAACAATTAAAATTGTTGTGTTGTTAATTTGAATTGTTATATTGCGAATTTAAATGCATCCGAACCTCAGTTTACAGGGGATAAAATTTTGATACGTATTGGATAAATGTGATTTTATAATGATAGCAAGATGTTTCAAGAGAGATAATAGTCCCTTTTCAAAAAGTTAAAAATAAAAATAAAAAACAAAAACAAAAACTTTAAGAGGCATACTTTAGCTGTTCATGTAACCACATGGTAATGATACGTGTTGGATAAATGTGATTTTATAATGATAGCAAGATGTTTCAAGAGAGATAATAGTCCCTTTTCAAAAAGTTAAAAATAAAAATAAAAAACAAAAACAAAAACTTTAAGAGGCATACTTTAGCTGTTCATGTAACCACATGGTATCAATGAAAGGCAAGTGAATGGCAATCCAAGGAATGCATTGAGCATTAGAATTTTTTAATCAGAAATAGGAAGGATTTTATTAACTTTTTTCCCAATTATTTAGCAAAAATACTAATAAAAAAATATAGGTTTTTTTTTTTTTTCACCTTATTAATATTATTTTATCTCACCAAATTGCAAATTGAATAACAAGGAAAAAAATGTTTAAAACTCATTTGGTTAATAGATTTTAACACTAATTTTCAATCTACATTAAAATTTGTTAAATTTAAAAGGGTTGCGAGTTGTATGGACCAAGCTGATTTAACTGTTAGTTGAATTGTATTTTATCCTGGCAAATTGGGAACGGGAGCTCAATCACGGTCACACCTATTTAAAAAATTACTCTACGAACTAGACTACCGGATGATGCCCTAATAATATCACAAATATTATTTTACCCTAACTTATTTAGACTCAAATTGATCCCTCAACTGATTTCACAAAATCGTTCCACCACCTAAACCAAAACAAAACAAAAGTAACAAATGAACAATTAATTTTGGCATGAAAACTAGGATTAGCAGTGATCTTACACCGAAAGTTTTGACCGAAATGAGGGGCCGAGAAAGGCATCGCGGTTTGAATTGCGGTAAATGACCGTTTAGCCCCATTATAATGTTCGGTTCAAAAGTCATTTTCCAAATGAAAACCATAGTTCAACCGCCTTAAACACTTGACGCCAATCCAAATTCACAAAAAGTTAATAGCATCTCGACCGTTGTTCACTCTCTGTCTAATCCAGATCCAACGTCGTAGACAATTGCCAAGTCATGGACCCTTGTCCTAAGTCAGTATCCAATCAGACGTTATTTTTACATTTTACATAACCTCTCTTTCCCAACACTCTTCTTTTCAAAGCTATTTAAGATATTTCTGTTCATCACTAACATCTGTCCTCTCAATTCGTAACTCATTTTCTCTCCCTACTCTCACACTCTCTCTCTCTAAATTCTCTGATTGCACCCAAGGCAGAGAAAAAGCCAGCAGAGAAGAAACCGGCTGAGGAGAAGAAAATAGTGGCCGAGAAGGGTCCGGCGGAGAAGAAGCCCAAGACCAGGAAGAGGCTGCCGAAGGAGGTTGGCGCCGCCGCCGAAGACAGGAAAAAGAAGAGGACCAAGAAGAGCGTCAAGACCTACAAGATCTACATCTTCAAGGTGCTGAAGCAGGTCCACCCCGACATCGGGATCTCGAGCAAGGCCATGGGGATCATGAACAGCTTTATCAATGACATCTTCGAGAAGCTCGCTCAGGAGTCCTCCAGGCTAGTCAAGTACAACAAGAAGCCCACCATCACCTCTCAGGAGATCCAGATTACCGTCAGGCTCATGCTTCCCGGTGAATTGGCCAAGCACGCCGTGTCGGAGGGAACCAAGACGATGATGAAATTTACTAGCTCTTGAATGTTGATCGCTTTTGGTCTTTAGCAGTATTAGATTACTGTTACCATCGATCCTTAAAAAAAAATTGTACCCGGTTGTGAATATAAGTTTATTTTTGTGTAAAATTGCAACAATCAGGATTATAAATTAATTGTGTTGTAATATCAGATGATGTTTCATTAGCTATGTGGTCTGCAATTCAACATATGATGGAAGTATCATTTGAAAATTGAATTTGTTTCTAGTAATAAGATTTTTTTATATTTTAGATGTCTTATGTTAATATTGCTTTTGATACTTAATTTAAATTGGAACTGCATTCTTATTTATGTAATATGATCAATTAGTAATAAAGTTATTATTATTATTTTTATATATTTTAGGGTAAAATGTAAGAAAAGCCTCTGAATTATTAGTCAACTAGCAACAAACCCCAGAATTACAAAAATTGAAACTAACCCCTAAATTATGGAATTTTGTTGCATATGACCCAATATGGTAAGGCTCTGTTTGGATATGATGCATGTGCTATAATGTGATCCGAAAGTTGGAATTAAATGACCATATTGCCTTTATTTACATATTCTTTCTATACTCTTATATTGGTGTATCAACACCACCCCCTACCATCGCCGCCAGACTGAACACCACAGACCATTATCACCGTCGGACTGAACTTCGAGCCGTACTACCAGAAACTAATCACTCACTGTCGTCTACAACATCCTTCTCTAACGGCACCACTTCCCTCTCCACGCCGCCACCACTACCGCAACTTTTTCCCTATCCATACCACTACAGCACCAGAACGAACAGAGAGGAGGAGTGGCTTGGCCGAATCTCCAATTTTTCCAGGCTCCAAGCGTGTCACGCGCTCTTACGAGTAAATCTAATGTGTTTTTCACGCGCGCACATGCCCTCTCTTCTTCGACTACCGTACTTCAGGCTCCGATCTAATATGCTTCGATATGGCGGCGACAACGCTTGGTTTGGGGTTAACGTCAATTTTGACGATGGCGGCGAGGCCGGTTTAAGAAATCGTGTTTGCTAATTACGGTTAAACTTCAATGAGTTGGGATTAGATTTGCATCATCCACAAAAGTATTAGAGGGACAATTAGGGATTTGATTTGGTCCTTTTCGGCATCAGAATTGGGGTTAGGTTTGGTAAATCATGCTCGGTGGGCGGTGTAGAAACCCATCGGGGTTCAGAATGAATCGATTGCTGCCTGTCGGCGCAACAAAAGCTCCTCCTCGTCAAAAACGATCATAACCTCTGGCGGTGTTTTTCCTCGATTTACTTATCTTCTGCGTGTTTATATATATTGTAACGATCCAAAACCGTAGGTCCAAATTGCTAACCGGGTCCTTACCCGAACCCAAGATCACCTAAGTCAATCCCGTTATATCTAGTGTTAATACGTTATTCTACATGCCAAGACATCATCAATGCTCAATCATGGCTCATTACAAGTGCCACAGAACTATAACAAGGTCAAGGGATAGCTCCCAAAATGGTGGGACAAAGGCTGTGAGGGGCCTGTATTTCTGTCAGCCGAAATGGCACTTCGGTCGGCCGAAGTACTTATTCTGGTCGGCCGAAATGGACCAACCAATTGATCGGTTGTGGCCCAAAAACTTGGGAGGCTACTGGAATGTTCAGTCGGCTGAAACAGTCATTTCGGCCGGCCGAAATGGCTCTGCGAACTGAGATTCTACTACTGAAATGCTGTGAATGTAAAAATGAGTGATGGCCTATATAGGGGTTTTGCAAACTACTCCAAAACTGTTCTAACACCCTATAAAAATGATATACAACACCCTATGGTTATGAACATCAACATTCTATCGCAATGCAACTTCATTCATCCCATTCAAATAAGAAATAACAATATAATCTTACAATGAGCCCAATTTATATCAAAAATACTGTCAAAGGTTTATAGTTCATTGCATGGCTATGCTATACAACTTAATACATTTCAAATGATACTTTTCCCAAAAGAAAGGGCTCAAATACACCAAAAGATAACAAAATGAACTTCTATTCCCCTTTAAGCTTATGGTGGATCGTCATCCGCTACCTTCTTTCCATGACCTGAAAAATATAGAGGGATGAGCACAAGGCCCAGTAGAGATTGCCTAAAGGGCATCTCCTAAAATTAAGAAAACGAGACACATGCTTAAACACGTCAATGAATAGAGTAGGAGAATAAGGATCATGCCAGGAATCACACATCATCAAATATTTACAGGTAATTCACTGTCAACCTTTTAAAATAATGCAACGCATGAAATGGCTTATGGTATGCATTCCACACACACACACACTCACACACCCAATCCACACACTGAAAATGTACTAACTAGCCGGACTCCCAACTACCATTTGGGGCCTGAGATAGCTAAATGACTCACGGGTACCCCCCATGTCCCTATTAGTTAGCTAGCACCGTTGATAGGGTGTACCTCCCCAAAACCGGGTTTTAGAAAAAACTTTTCTTCAAAAAATTTCTTCAAACTTTTCTAATTCAATTCACCAAAATTTCTTTCACAACACACCCAATGCTCAATGCCAATGCAACAATGTTAATGTCATGCTCACAATTATCAACAACTTCAAGAGTCATCATTGCCTACTTATAGCGGTAATTTTACCTCCACATGAATTGTCACATAACCATCAATAATTAACTACATACATGGCATTGACAATGATACAATTATTTTATAAGTCAACATATGAACTAAAACCACAATAGTATGATTTTTTTTTAATTAAACATTCACATTGGCAATTTTACAAACACTTAGCATACTTGACATTTGAAGAACACAAGAAATATCAATTCAATATCAAGTAGCATGCTTGCCTACAAATAGTCACAGAACCCATTCAACAATTAAAATTTCTCATCACATAATCATCATTTAACACATAACAACAAACAAATTGACATACACCATCAATTTAATAAAATTCTAGCATGCTATTACCAAATTGACATCAAATTGGCATGTAAAAATTTGGGAAAAAACATGGATTTAACTACAAATTTTAAAGACTATGCAAGTTAGACAACTTTACCTTAGTTTAAAGCAAAAGCCTCAAAATTTGCCCAAATTTCGAAATTCCCAGGGTTGGCCAAATGGTAAATTGCTTCTATCAAAGTGTAGATCTCGACAAGCTTTGCCGCAAATGGCACCAACAAATTCTCAAAATTGAGAAAAGAAATCAAAGCTTGAGTTTTGTTGTAGAAAAAAAAAAAAAAAAAAAAAAAACGAAAATGAGAGGGAGGAAGAGAGAGTGCCAGGTAGAGAGAGAAAATGAGGCCACAATGGCCTCTTGGCCACTAATTCAAATTTGACGACGGCCGTTCCAATACGCCAAACTGAATGTAGTGAATGTGTGGTTCAAGAAAAGCCTTTTATGTCAAATTTAAATTTATAAAAATCACTACCAACACTACTACTAACGTAGCAAGAGTGAGTAGGGATCGTCCCAAGGGATTATACGTGTTGGAATTTCAACTTCGACTCTAGCGTACCAAATAATTGCAAAAGAGAATTGGGTTGGTTGATTACTTCTAGAAAAGAATTAATTAAAATGCAATAAAATACAGAGTAAATAAGAAGGAAAGGTCTTGGGGTGTAGAGATCACCACCAAACAATACTATTCCAAACCATAATCAAGTGACTAATGAGGGAAATGAATGTGTTGCAACAATGTTGTGTGTGTAAAAGACAATCAATTGGTAAGGGTGACTCAACAAGTGCAAATTGTCTCAATCAACATGTGTGAGGCCACAATACATCTATTGGTAGAGGAATATATTGTCTAGACATCATGTGAAGAGAACAAAATATCAAATCAAGTCATTGAACCTTTCATTAAGCTCATAGTCCAAGCAATCCATAAGGATGACTTAGTTAAACATGCATTATCTAAACATCATGTGAGAGGTACAAAATATCTATTGGGAGAGGAATAAATTGTCTAAACACATGTGAAAGATACAACATATCATAACTAGTCATTAATCTTTCATTAAGCTCACAATCCACATACAACACAATATTAGAGGAATATCCCATTTGGACTCACAAGCATGGAACATCAAACATCAAGAGTAGATTGTCCTCCCATCTAACATTACACTACCACTACACTAAATCTACACTACTAGCATGAAAATAAAGCTATCTAGACTAGGGGAGAGGCACAAACCATCAAGAATAGGCATAAACCATCAAATGAACCAAAATAGCATTCATTAAGCATATCATCTTGATAATCTCTAGATCTATAGCATCAATACACATAGACATGCATCAAAAACACTAAATCTAGAGATAAGCACATGAATATCCTACTCTAGCATACATAGACATATGGATAGAATAGAATAGTCAATTGGAAGCATTAAACCATACAAACCATGAAATAATCAAGATTTATATATACATGAATATCAAGATGTATCATACAACACTAATCCCTCAATAATACACAAGATTAGAGTATAGAAAGCATGCTTGGGGCTAACTCTAGCCCCAAGAGGATGTCTAGACACTCATGGTAGTGATGATCCGACCCTCAAGGGCTAACTCCATGGCTGCTCCTTGTTGGTGAAGATCTCCTCCAATGGTGCTCTAGCTTCCCTCCTTCCTCCTCTCCAAGAAGAGCCTCCAAGATGATTTTCAATGTGTGTCAAGAGACTCTAGACTCTTTCCAAAAAGTGTATCATATTCCTTATATAGGTAGGTCAAATACACCCTATGATGAGCTGTGGTCGTGCAGGGCATATTCTCCAATGATTGGATGAAGGACGGAATAAATGAGCTGGACTTTAACTTTTTCTCGCTGGAGGAAGTTCGATCGATCAAACTTTTACTTGGATCGATCGAAGATGGGTTCAATCGATCGAACTGCATCTTGGATCGATCGAAGTGGTCTGACTCCTCCGGATAAGGACAAGGCTGAGATATTTCGAAGATATTTATAGGGAAAAGGACAAAAGTGGTTGGTAGGTGTACAGCTGTGGATAAGATCAATCATTTGAATAGGACAAAACAGGGTTCGATCGATCGAAGGTGATGTTGGATCGATCAAATTTGAAATTTCAGCAAAGGCCAAGGTTGGATCTATCGAGAAGTACTGTGATCGATCATAGATGTTCGATCGATCGAACTCTAAGTTGGATCAATCGAACTTTTCAGCTGCACAACTTTGATTCCTTTTTGCTCATTTCTTTCTCCACTTTGTTCCCTCCTTTG